GAATTGAATGCGACTTGATGCCAATTGTTTGGTTTTATTTGATTTGATGCAAATATTAAGGGGCTTCCTTGACATGAGGACTTTTATTTCATTACTAGATCCTCTTAAGATTTTGAAGATTGGATAGGACTGTGATTTGAATAATTTTAGTTATTTTAATGGCCTCTAATGTAATATTTTTCATTTCATGTGTAATTGAAGGATTGAGGCAAGTGAAAGGCTATTTGGTACATTTGTTTGCTCTTTGGTTATGTAAGGGTGGTGCAGAGGGTTTATAGCCTTGATTGTTACGTTTGTCTAATATTTTATGAAATTGTGTTTATAGCCTTGACTTTTATTTTGTTTTTTTCTCTTTTTTGGCTTTAAATTAGAAAACAACCTTTTAGTGCATTATAAACTTGGGTCTTTTGGATAGGATTATGATATTTTTTACTACACTTCAATTTTTTGTTTTTTGTTTTAATTTTGTTGCCAATGAAAATGTGGGCTTGGGAGTTTTGAGGTAGGACAGAGAAAGGAGAAGTGAGGAGGATTGATTAAAATTACTTTAATTACTTCAAATGCAATAGTGTTTCAATAGTTTTCTGGGTACACTTTCAATATCTGGAACTTATTGGAATTCAAGTTACTTAAAGAACCAATGTTATTTTCGAGCAATTTTTTAGACAGCCTCTTGAATGTTTTGATGCTTCGTAATTTCTTTTATACCTATTTCTATAGTGTGCATTTGTATTTGAAAAATAATAATTATATGCCAAATCAAGTTGATTGAGAATGAGGATTTGCACTTTAACCATATGGAGAGAGTGGTTATTTGATATCAAAACGCGTTTTTTTATTTGATATAGATCTTAATTATTTTTTTTTTACTACTATGGGCAAATTAATAATATGTAATGAGTAATAAATTTTTAAGGTACGGTGATAAAATATGTAAACTGCGTATATGTTTAAATTTTTTGAGTTATGTTTTTAGCGGTAATATTTTGCATTTTTTATATATTCATCAGCTCTAGGTATTTATTGTTATAATTATATGCACAGTTTTATTCTCTTGCTAATGCTCATTTTTTTAATTGATTTTTTTTTGTTGTACAGTGACTTCAAGCACGGGTAATAACTAGCTGATGATGGTAGTATTACTACTCAAGAAGATGTTGTTTACACTGTAATACAGACTATATTAAAACACTTTGTAGAATCAGCACTGCAAAATACCGATAAAAGTAAAGAACTTTTAATGAATTTAAGATGTTCCACTTTAACACATTTTAAATGGTAAAATTATTAAGATCAAACGCCAATAATAAATTCTGGAAAGAAAAATTTATATCAGGATTACCCAATTTATTTGCTGAAAAAATAAGAATTCTTTTAAGACAAAGACATGGTAGATTTAAAATCTCTTATGAAAATTACATTTATCATGTATTAATTTTTGAATATATATCAAAAGGTTTAGCTCTCTGTAATTATTTAAATTTGAAAGCTCAATTAGAAAGGCAAAAATTAACAGATCGAAAAGAACTTGGAGAATTTTGTAATCAATTTGCCTATCATTTAGATATACCTAAAGAAAAATCAGCAAAAGAAAAGTCTTATCCGACGTCTTTAAGCAATAATAAGGAAAGCCGACTCTATAAAAGGAATTAAGATAAAGACAAACTTACTAAAGAAAGTAAATCTACCAAACCCACTAAGTCTTCTAAAGATAAAGACAAAAAGTCTATCACTTGTTTTAAATGTGGAAGAGATGGACATGTTGCGTCCAAGTATTTAACTAAAAAACAAATCAATGAATTAATAATGGATGAAGATCTTAAATATAAGATTTTAAAAATTGTCTTAAATGCAGACAGTGAAGATAATAAATCAATAGAAAAATCATCTTCTGAAGAAGAATATAATATTTATGAAATAAGTAATTCTTCCTCAGAAGAAAGTAATTTGGAACAAGATAAAACATGTTTATCCCATTGTAGAGTTCAGAATAATTATTATAAAGTCATTTTGGATATGAATGGATTAAGTATAAATACTTTGTCTTTAGAAAAAATGCTAGTAATAAATCACATAAAAGAAAATTATTTTAATTCTAACCCTCCTAAGAGTTTTATTGCAGCTTACAAGCAAGAAGTTGCAAAGATGAATCCTAATAAAGATTCATTTTCTTTGGTCTTTATTGTCAAATCTCAAAAGCTTCTTGATTGTATCTGTACTTATGCAGGTGAAGATATTTTTAGCTTTGCTTCCAGTTGGCATCTTAATTTTTGGAGGGTTTCACTTTGGTGTCTCTACTGGAACGCTATGGAAGACCAATTAATTGATGATGTCTCTATTTTCTTATTAAGAATAGAAAGAGCGAAAAGAAACTCTTCTAATTTTCATCTCCTTCTTGAAATCAATGAATGGTATTTTGACTAGAGAACAAAATATTGGCTAGAGAATATAGTCCCAAATGATTTTATCCATCTTATAAAAGAAAAGATTGGAGGTATTCTGGTATGAATCCTCATCTATGCATATAAACATGCATATTATTCTGATGAACTTGATAAAGATGTTTATTATGAACCTAATGCATATAAAGATGTTTACTATCTCCCTGAACAGTTTAAAGATACTTATTATCTTTCTAATTAGCTTAAAGTTGTTGATAATTAAAAGGAAAAATCGTCATATAAAGATGACAATAAAGACACTTTTAATTACCAGAGATAAAACTCTCATTATAATTCCTACAGTTTTAACATTGTCTCCACATATGGAGTATAATTTAATTTGAAGGATAAATCCCTACGAACCTAGGAAAAAATTATTTGACTTGTATAAAGACAAATGTCCATCCTTAAAGGATAATGATATAGCAACAAAGCCAATTATTAATTTCTCACTTGAATTGTTTATTCCATGGATTTGAGTGTGAACTTTGACTTGTGATTTTAATCAAAACGGACATCCCAGATTAATCAGTGAATATCATGTCCCTTTTTGGAATAAATATCCATTTCAATCTAAATGTCAAGCCATAACTAAATGTCTTAAAGACATGGGAAAAGAGGAAGAAAAAGCTTCAACCTCTACGACTACAATTCTCACTACCAGTATAAATAATAGATCTAATTTTAATCCTGTTGAAGTTCTTAAAGAACAAATTAAAAAAGAAAAACTCTATTTAAATACTAAGCAGCTTAAAGCAGTAGTTATGGAGGAGTGACGTCTTCAGGTGATATTGACATTTGGAATGGGCAAAACCGAGAAGATGGACCTCGCTAACACTCCTACAGTTGCATTAAAAGACAAAGGAAAAGATAAAGTTGAGGAAGACAATAAGAAAACCCCCATTCCTATTGCCTCTGATGATGACTTTATGAATTTTCAAGGATACACTCCTCTTAAAGGTGACACTTCTATTCATAAAAATTTACTAAATGACGATATGAAGATAAACCTCAATGATGACAACGGTAATATGTTGTATAATTTGCTTTACAAGAAATAATCAAATAAAATTGAAGTCTCGGACAAAGCCGACCTTGAAGGGGTGACGAACGCCATGATGTCATCATAAAATTATTGTACTTGTACAGTATTGCTGGCGTATGTAATGAGGTCAATATAAATTATTAAAATTATGAATAGTAAAAAGTTGTGAATAGTATAGGTTAGATTGAAATCCGGATTTCAAGTCTGCATATTATAAAAAGAAATGCGGTCCCAACCTATGAAGCACCGCATTTCATACCCACTACTCTCCGTACTCTCACTTTCTCCCCCTTTCTCTTGCACCCTCTCTGAATCTTTCTCTCTTGTATAAATCTCCATCTTTTACTGTCCACCACTACTACTGTAGGTGTGTTATGTACATAAGTTTACGTTAAATAAAAATTTTTGCTAATATTTTCTGCATAGATCTATATGACTTTTGTATCACATCAATTTTGACTAGTAGGTGAGTGAGTTTCATTACGTCAAACAAACTCTATTAAGTGAGGTTGTGCCACTTCATACGATATTAAAAACATGATGGTATAGAAAGATGGTGGTGAGAAACTAATTATCGGAATTAAGTGGGTTTGACTCGTAATTGTTGTGAGGAGAGGGACTATGAAGTTGTACGGGGTCTGAACCATCTTAATTTCCTTAGTGTACATAGTTCACATGCAAGCATGTGGGCATTGCAATAATGCTTATATTCTCAAGCCACATGAGTTGCAAAATCCGCCAAAAAAAAAAAGCACAAAGGGCATAAAGATTCAAACTACACTGAATCAACCATGCAGTTGTAGTGCATACATACCATGTGACAGCAAAAATTTAAATTTGACCCATCTACCCCCTTTGTTTGACCAATTTAATATAGTTGCAGTTGTGTGATAATACTTAGTAGAGAATACTTGGATGTCTTAGAATATCCAACTAATTTTTTCATACATACTCACTCATCTTCACCTGACATCATCGATTGAAATAAATCCTCATATTGAATCCAATAAAGAGACTCAAATTCAAGATCTCTAATAAACTGTTCCAAAAGAGCAAATAACATTTCCCATTCCAAAAACTCAAAGATCCATTGCACGAAAGGTCGGGTTGCCAAGTGAACAACCCTTTAGTCTAGCGGGTAAGTTCGCGGGTCATTTTCTTTCACCTGTTAGCCCGATAAATTGATTTGTTTAAGGCCCACCAACAAAAGAGTTGAGCACAACTATGACCCGTTTAAAGACCCAATAAGTCTGAACCCAATGAATAATACTTTAAAGATCCATTACGAACAACCTGTTAGACACACCGCATGTCATCCTTTCTTCAAATAGGTTGACCCGATCCAAGGCCGAAGTTGAGTCGAAACATTTTATATTCCAGTCCATGGGTTGTTTGGCATTTGCCCTTTCACCATTAAAACAAGTTAAATACATACAATTTTCAGTAATTACATGATTTCTAGATGTATTATATAAAAAGAATTTAAAATAATATTGTGGTATGGAGCACCATACATGAGTGGTAAGGACCAGGAAGAGTGGGTTGTGATTTCACCAGATCAAAGGGATGATGGGTCTCCAAATGTTGGTTCAAGAACCAGGAAGAGTGGTAAGGCAATCACTTCAAACATGACCAACCTTACCCCTTTCCAAACCAATCCCTTCCTCTTTCCACACCTCCAAAACAAGCTAATACTTCTTGAACTAAAATAAAAAAAACAATTCAGTATATAAATTTCCTTCATTACTAGATTTGGGAAGAATAAAAGATATTATTTTTGTGACTCAAACTTTTAATAAAAGATTTTGTTTAAGTCCTAATGGAGAAAAACAATAGTTTAGTTATAATAATATTATTATATCATGCAAATTGAGTTATCATTAAGCAAAGCAAATTAAATAAAATTTTAAAATTTATATAATATATCCCAATTATTACTATTGCAGTTATAAATCAGGCAACTAGACAAGAGCCGAGACAAGTTAGGCAAGGACATGAGGTGCTACCAAAACTGAAGAAACACTCACCAACACCCCACTTGCATTCCCCTCCGACCATTTCCTTAAATTGCTATAAGTTAGTCACCAGCACCTCAACCTCTTCCCACTCTCCCATCATTATTCACTCTAACTCTCGCTCTCTCTCTCTCCCGCTCTCTCACACACACGCAGGCAGAAAACTCTATCAAGTGGTTATGGAATACTACATGGATGAGAAACGGAAACTATCACAGGAAGAACCATGTAGCAATCCTTATAATTCGTCCAAATCATCTCTCATCAGGAGCATATCTCATAAGAGTTCTACATCAAAGTCTTCTCTTCTGAAGAGTTCTTTCCAGAAATGCTCTTCTTTCAAGTCCCCTCTCTCCAGGTGTTCTTCTCAAAAGAGCTCTGCTTCCAAATCTCCTCTGTCAAGGAGTTCTTCAAAGAAGTGCTCAGATTTCACCAGAAAGTGTAGTAGCTTGGCCAAAGAACAGAGGGCCAAGTTTTACATCGTCAAGAGTTGCATCACCATGCTTGTTTCCTGGAACAAAAATGGCGATTCTTGAAGTAATTGGGTGTTCAAGAACTATTACCAACTTAGCTTCTGAATGGGATTGGAGGATCTTCTTCTCCTACCCTCTTTGTATCTCCCTTCTACTTGTGAGATGGAACTTGGGTTCGTTTGAAACCTGTATAAATTTTTGTACCATCATCCGATATAGAAGAAGGGAATTTTTCTTGGTTTTTCTTTTAAACAGAAATTAGATTTAGATTCAATTGAGACTTCCATGAGGGTCATGATGAGTTACCCATTGTGAGAAGACCATGTAACGGATCAGATAGATTTCGAATTGATCTCGGTGTCTGAAACTTCTACCTCTAATAGTATGTTTGAAGTTTGAATCACTACTTGTCTTACATCCTGTGTCTCCTCCAGTTCTGTTCTATGTCAGCATTTGTCTTGAGGAAGAGAGAGAGAGAGAGGTAGATATTCCTTTCTGCTGTTGGAACTATAAGTCATGAGAAGATATATTTAATAACTGGATCTGCATTGGAAATACATATTCTGACCCTTTTGAGAAAAAAAACAGAGAATTGGGGATCAGGATTAAATTTGACTGAAGATTAAAAATGCTCTAAATAGGATTAAATAGTGATTTAATGAGATCGATTATGATTTAACAAACCATTTTGAGAAGAGGAACGGTCTAAGAGTAAGAAGAAAGTGAGCAACTCCTAGCCTATAGTAAGTAAAAATTTGAATTAAAATTGGAGACACTTTAAATCGAATTAATTTGTGATTCAATGAGATCGATTATCACTGAACAAATTTTTATTATGATCATTATTATTGAGACTCCTAATAGAAGCATTACAAGTCCAAATATTACAAAATTTCCTCTACCATTATTGCCTTTCTCATTCCACTGGAGGATTCTTTCAGGATATTATAGAAAGACAATACAAAGCAAGCCTCCATGCCAATGTTGGCCTGGAAATTTCTTTTTTATCTTCTCAAACAAATTCTAGAAAAAAAAAATCAAATAAGTTAAACAAGGAAATCACAGCACGACAGACATTCTAGCGGATGAGGCAAAATCAACGGTCAACACTTGGGAAGATCGGATGGTGGAGGAGGCAGCTTCTGATTGGGGAGCTTCCCGTCCATGACTATCCAAGCCATCTTCAACCCCCAGCTCAGATGAACTTCAAAGTGGCAGTGCATGAACCAAACACCTGTTTGTAGACATCATTAATTCAACAATCAATCTACAAAAATAAATGTATAGTTGCAATGGCTATGGACGTTTGTATGCATATGTACGGGACAACAATCAGATCATGTCGAGTCTTGTCAACCATATTCATGTCCATCAAGATCAATCCGAACACAACTTGTTTAACTATTGAGTCACCAGGCTCAAACATTTGATATTAAGCTCATGGTCAGGTCATGGGTTAATCTTTCAACAATTGAAAACCGTTCAATCCAACACCAATTAAAGTAAATGGTTATATATGTTTGTCGGATGACACTTTAAAGTAGATGGGTTTCCCATCAAAATTGGGTACCTTACCAAGCATTATACTTAAAACCATAAATTCTCATTGGATCTGTTATTAGTCATAAGGTACATATTTAGAAACTAAGCAATACTCACCTGGGTTGTCAGCGCTGAACCGAATGGCCACCCATCCACCGGACGGCACACCAACAGTGTTTCTTTCAACGGGGTCCACAAGGTTAAATCTTGTGGGGTCCTTTTTAGAATCAAAGTTTCCAAACCCTTGGCCCACAACAAAGAAGTTATAGCCATGAAGATGGAGAGGGTGGCTTTCGGCACCAAGAATGCTGGTATCCTGCAGCACTAGCTCCACGGTGGTGTTAAATGGTAGCACCACCACCTTGGTGCCGTTGGCCACCATGGTGTTGTTTGGAGGCGTGCCCGTATAATTGAAAGCAACGACAGGAAAGCTCGGAAAATCGGTAGTATAAACGCCATTGGATTGGCCAAAGAAGTGGGTTTGGAGGAGTGCTGTTGTGGGCAAAACAAAGGAAATGTTGTTTACAGAAGCTGCAAATTTTGTTCCATTAGGCCCTTGACAAGTTTGGTTTTTCTGGCATGGATTGCTTCCAAGTCCTACAGTGAAGAAAAAATGTTTTTGGACTGTTTGTGGCACATTGGCAGGGTATTGAGCATTGGCCAAACTTCGAAATTTGCTGCTGAAATTTGCGGCGAAAGAAGTGCCATTGATTGGGGGGAAGGTTGGGAGTGTAAGATTTTTGATTGAAGTGTTTGATGAGGATGCAACAGATGGGATTTCGTATTCGAGGATCCCGGCGACGGTGGAATTATCGAATGTGCCCTGACCTGTAAAATATGGTCTCGCAGCCATTAAAAAGGTCGCATTGGTGGGGTGAGCTTTGGTCTTGAGAAGAACATTGGTAGTCTGCCCTGGAGCTATGAGGAGAATATCGGTTTGAAATGGCTTGGTATAAACTGCATCAGCTTCAACAATGGTGAGTGTGTGATTAGCTACAGTGAAAAAGAGCTCGTCATTGAGTGCAGCATTGATCAAACGAAGGAGATAAGTCTTTCCGGGCTTCACTTTTAGCTTGAATGTTTCTGCAAAACATCATACAGATCATAGGTGGTGAGCAAGAAAACCATGCAATTGCATTTAGTTTCACGGGTTGTGAGAGAGAATACCATTTGCAGAACAGTTGTACAATGGTCCAGGTTGTCCATTAATGGTGTATGCATCAGAGACATTCGGACCAGCGCCAGTTTGAAGCGCCTGGTTAATAACTGCCTCTGTATTAGCGTTCCACCATTCTCCTGTAAAATGAGTCACCATCTTTCATATTACTACTTAATTTCAGGTTGTCACTTTTAGTTTTCTTAACCAAGACACTGTACATTAAGGAAATGGTGTAGAATAATAGTTACCGAAGATGATAGGGACTTCCTTGTATGGTTTAGCAAAAGGGTAAGGAACATTATGCTTGGGTAATATGAAAATTGGTCCATAGAGGGTTGCTCTGAGCCATGTGATGTGTGCATGCCAGAAGAGAGTTCCTCTTTGGCCAACAATGGTGAAGTTGTACACATAAGTCTGGCCTGTTTGAATGGGGCACTGAGTTATGTAAGCTGGTCCATCGGCCCATCCGCTTTGAAGCTGTCTAATACCATGCCTGTAGTATATGAGAAAATGAACATTTATCATAATTTCTTTAATATGTCATGATAGATCATTATTACCATTTAAATTCGATATATGCATTGTAATGATGGCAAAGTATCGTAAGTATAAAATATAGGCTGATAATTTATACCAATGGAAGCTGACATTGTTGGAGACATGATTAACCACCTTGACCAACACACGATCACCCTCTCGGGCAATGATGCGAGGTCCCGGGAACTTCCCATTGACAGTCAATATGGTTTTTGTTTGGCACAATCTGGTCACATTCTGCAACCTTACCTGTCAAGCAATAATAGCAGAGAACAAAAAAAATAAAGGTGTTTTAGAACAATGGCACACATTCATGAGCTAGAAAATGATGTATTAATCCATGGAAGCAACACGGACATTGAACTTGTAGTGCCTTGTAATCCCTGCATGCTTTGCAATGGTGACTTCAGGAAATAACCAGAGACAGTTTATTAGAAGCACAAAAGCACCGACAAGTACTGGTGATGGAAGATGAGAAGCAGCCATTTTTGGGCCTATTTAAGAATCGAAGATCAAGAGGAGCAGGAGTAAGTTGGCTTATTTAGGGGTGTGATGATCCATGAGAAGTTCGAAGGTTTATATAGACGTGGTGGGTGTGTTTCTTGAATAAGTAAGCCGATACCTCAACTGAGAAGTGGAATTCAAAATAAGATAAAATTCAACTTTGACCCCTTAACTATGCCTCTATCTCACAGATTATCCCCCTGAACTAGCACATTTTTCACCTTACACCTCTATCAATGATGATAAGGACTTGTAGCGTTAAAAAAACAAAAATTGAAAAAGTAATTCAAGTGATAATAAGAACAAACTATAAATACAGATATTCTGAATTCGAATTTTGATAATTTCTTAAGATCAAAGAATATTTTTTATAAATATCTTAGTTTTGAAGTGGGTGATCTAATTTTGATCGAATTAAAAAAGAAATTAGTGAAGATGTGAAAGACACCGCTCTTTAAAAGAGAGAGAGAGAAAAAAAAAAGTATTTGGTGAAGGTCAAGGGCTCAGGGATTTTCACTGTGCGACAAAGGGAGTTATAGGCTGACGACAATACGAAGGAGGTCAAATCAGGTAAAATTAACTTTAACAACACTCCACTGTTGAGATGGGCCAAAAGTTGGTGTATCTATTTTTATTATGATTTTTTAAATGTAAATTATATTTTCGTTCCTTGAACTAGATGGATTTTAAAACATCTCAATTGCAAACATTCATAACAAATTGGATGGAGATTTGCGTCGTTTTTTTGTATTTATGTACCTGAATCTAATTACTTGTTTCTAACATTCAAAGGCACACGGGTGTTATCACTCCATAAATTTGATTTTGGACAATGTGAATCAAATCAAATCAAATATTTTGAAGGGTTAACATTAGAAAACTCAAAAAATAAGGATTACAAAATGAGATTAGGCCTCTAGTTCAAGGGATGAAAATATAATTTACATTTAAAAAATCATAAAAATGGATACACCAACTGTTGGCCCAGCTCAACAGTGGAGTGTTGTTAAAGTTTATTTTACCTGATTTGACCTCCTTCGTATTGTCGTCAACCTATAGCCCCCTTTGTCCCACAGTGAAAAACCCCTAGCACTTGCCTTTCACCAAATACTTTTCTATTTTTTGTTTTTCCCCTTAACAGGGGTGTCTTGTTGCACCTTCACTAATTTTTTTTTTTAATTCGATTAAAATTAGGTTATTCACGTTAAAATTAAAATATTTATAAAAAATAATTCTATGACCATAAAAAATTATCAAAATTCAAATTCAGAATATCTGTATTTATAATTTATTCTTATTATCACTTTAATTACTCTTTGAATTTTTATTTTTTTAATGCTACAAGTGTTTTGACTTCACTACTTTTTTTACCTCTGAGCTAGCCATTGTAATTTGAGTTAGTTTAAGGATATATTCCATGAAAAATAAGGTGATTGACTTTTAAGTGGTGTGAAAAATATCGAACTTGACCACTTAGACCACCCAAGGACAATCTACCCCTTGAAATTACCAAATACTTTCTGCCACTAGTATGATTTACCACATTCAATATTTCCAGTTTAACTCTCCCATAGAACAATATCAAGAAGGGCATTTTGGAAATAATGTGCAGAATTTTCAACGAATCAAACCTATAACCCTCAACCGTTAACACTTGGTGACCAAGAAAAACCAGAGGGTTACCATCGTCCAAATTCTTTTCAACCAATATTTATCCTTTGTGTCTGGTTCATTGAACATCATGTTAATCATTTTCCTATGGACTGATTCGGATGTGCACCAGTTGGTTGGTGAAGTCTATGTGTAGTACTTTTCTAACCAAACAAGCCCTTGAATGGTTTGAGAGACGAAGAAGAGGACATTTGACCAGCATTTCTTTCAAACAAGTAACGAATGATAGAGATTAGGTTGTAACTGAAACACAATCATGAAGTTAAATTTAAGTTTAAGAGAAATGCATGGCCAAAATGGTTGTTAAATAAAATTATAAGGTGGGTTTATGCCTAATTATATGCGGTCATAGAAGTATTATCAGAAAATTTCTGGGCTGATTTTGTAGTTCCACCAACTACGCTCCTTGTAGGGTACTATTACTACATCTACTCCCTTATTTCCTGCAATACACTGCTTGTCTTTCACTTCAGTTCTTATCTTTGTTTTTTTAATTTTTCTTTTGTTGGAAGGATGAAAAGTAGGAAGGATGAAAAATATAAGAAATATACTTTCTATTTTCAAGGATGTAAAGTAGGAATGATACATTTTTTATCTTTCAATGATGGAAAGTATAAATGATACATTTTTTTTCCTTTGTATTTGGTTGGATGGATGAAAATAAAAATTATTAATTTTTAAAAAAAAAATTTTTGTGCCGGCTAAGATTAAGGTGACAATCGAGTCATATCGTGTCGTGTCAAATTCATGTTGAATAATAAAATTATGATTATTTTATATTTTTTGTTCGCGTGTCAGATCATTTTTAAGTTTATGTTAAGTTATAATCAAATTCATGTCATAAAATTCGTGTTGAGTTCGAGTCGTATCATTGTGTTGAATCGAAATTTTTCACTCCTAGTTAAGATGAAAAAAATATTTTTTTAATTTAAAATTTTTATTTTTTTTTTTTATTTTTTAATATATATATATATATATATATACATATTTTATCTTTGTATTTTTATATAAAATTAATGTATACATAATATATAGACAAATAAGATATATCTAAACATAAATAATTATTTTTTCATTCACTTTCCTTTCGATTTTGGAGGGATTGATTTTTGTGAGTTAAAAGAAAAAAATTAATCCATTCACTTATCCATCATTCCTATTTTTTTTGCTTACCAAATGATTGGGATAGAATTTTAAGTATGAGCCGTCATGGCCATGGAGCCCAGAGAGCCCAAAGCATTCTGCTTCGCCTATTAGGCCAAGGGAAGTATACCTAGTCAGCCCGTATCAAGAGACAAAACCCAAAAGGACTTGCGGCCCGGCCCTAGCCGAAAGATAGCCAAAGAGGGAGAAGTCAAACCCTAACCATAGATGCATCCCACCACGCCACGCGTCTCAAAAGAACAAGGGGACCATCTCTGAAATCTATGATAATCACACCCACCTATGGGGAGTGGTGGTGCATAACGACCCAGGCACAGTGGGTACAATAACACTAGCTGGCAGGGTTTACTTGTAGGACAAGGACAAAAGGTCCCCACAGAATCAGTAAACAGATAAGAGGAGCCGATGGGAACCCCTCTGAGGCGTTCTAACACCCAAGAATGCGTGAGTTAGAATATAACTTCTTGTAATGGCCTAGCGCTTGTAATGCTATTTACTTCAGAAAAGAATCAATATACAGGCTCAAGGAGCAAGAGACTCCACTGCAGTGGATGTAACCTCAGTCCGCCGGCTGGGGTGAACCACTTAACTCCTATGTCTCTCCCTACCGATTAGGCTATCCCTAAGTTCTCACCACCTAAATAAAACTCATCAACTCCCTGTCCACAACCGAACTTGGGCCATAATTTATGAGACCTCATCAGTTGGCTCCATCTGTGGGAACGGTTTTCATCGTTTCCTTTCTAATCTTTTGTTTATTTGACGGTTTCTACTCGGAACATGAGTAAAGCTCCAACCAATCCCCAAGTCCGTCAGAACCCACCGGAGAACTTCCCGATCCCAGAAAGAGACGTCGAGGATCACCCTCCAGAGGCCAACATCCCTCTTCCCAACGAACTGGAAGCTTATCGTCGAACCACAGTTCAACTAATAAGGCAGAACCAGGAGCTGATGGAGTGGATACAGACACATCGGCTCTCTCAGATCCCGTCATCACGTCAATAACCTTCTCCACCCCAGGCCGAGCAGGATGCCCCACCTAACGGAGTCACCGAGTTCCACGAGCGGAGCCACTCTGGGGAAAATCACCAAAGGAGGCACCCTGATGAATGCGATGAAAATGAGGCCCACAGTAGGGCCAGACCCACCTACCAAGAAGACAGGCCCTATCACCTGCTAGATGCCATGGACCATCATTTGGAGCAAAAACTCTGTAAGCTCCAACAAGAGCTGGGTAATATAAAAGAAGTGGTTAAAGGAAGGACCCCTGATACCATAGAGGCCCTAGTCCAGCAGACTGAGTCGCCATTTACTCCCCGAGGTCCTCCACTTCCCCTTCCCCCAGAAATTCCAAACACCGTTAATAAAGGCATTCGACAGAACCAAAGACCCAGTCGACCACTTGAACTCTTACAAAAACCAGATGGAACTTCAAGGTTATCTTCATCTGATACACTGCCGGGCATTTGCCATCACCCTCAAAGGGTCGGCAATAGCCTGGTTCAACCGTCTGCAACCTTCAACCGTCCTCAGCAACCTGTATAGAAAACCTTCCTACCATCTTCTGAGTGTCAAGTAGGGGCCTAATGAGTCCCTCTGAAGCTATGTACAGCGCTTCAACCAGGTGTACCTAAAGCTGGAAAATGTGGATGACAAGTTCGCACTAACCGCTTTCATGTCTGGGCTCGGGCTACAATCCAAGGACCTCCTCTTTTCGATAACGAAGAATCTTCAAGCCACCACGGCTAAGGTACTGGCGAAAGCCGAGAAGTACATCAATCGAGAGGAAGCCCTCAGCTTGAAAGGAGGCCCAACACCGATCGAAGAAAGTAAGAAGAAAAGGGACTGTAGTCTTAGGAAAGAGGGGAAACATAATCGATCCCCGAAACGAGACCGCTCGCTTAGGAGAAGAAGATAGCCTTCTCTGAAGAGGAGAAGCAACGTCTGAGACTGCCTGGGTCCGCCCCCACAGGACCTACAGCCGCGGTTTGCCCCAGCACGGCTGTCACCCCTTATAACTACTATCGCTCAGGTTCTTCACGAAGTCTAGAATGAAAGGTTCACTCAGTGGCCACCTCGGATGAAATTCGACCCCAACAGACAAGCCCCCGCCAAGTACTATGAGTTCCACAAGGACACAGGCTATGAAACCAAGGACTGCATCCAACTCCAGAAGGAAATAGAGTACTTGATACAGA